GCGGCGGCGGGCTCGCAAGCGGCTGCAGCAGCAGCTGATGGATGTGAAAAGATCCAGGACCCGGCAGAGCTGCCCAGCGAGAACAGCCAGTCCACCACCAAGCTGGGCTCCGAGGGCATGGGCAGCGGCACGCTGGGCAGCGCGCTGCCGTCCCCCGGGAACAGCGGCTTCCTGGAGCCGCACGCCAGCAAGAGCAGCGTGCCGGATGGGGCATGGAGGTCTAGGTGGGTGTCGGGCTGGCTGGGGTGGCGGCTGGCAGCTGCGCGCGCTTTCCTGGGTGGCTGGCTGGCCGAGGCGCCCTCTTAGCGATGCTTGGCAGGCAGTGCACGCCCACTGACCTGCCCATGCCTCCGGGCGCTCCGCTCCTGCAGGGTGGGCTTCATCGACGGCTTGCAGCTGGGCGGGCTCATCGGTCGCGGCGGCTACGCGCGCGTGTACAAAGGTGGGTGGTCCGTCAGGACTGGCCGGAGCAGCAGGTTTGCACATGGGTCTCTGGTCAGTGCAGCTTACACAGCGCCCACCATCTCCCATGCACGGAGTCATGTTGCCTCGGGCTGGGCCCTCAGCACACCCAGCTGCAGCCTCCATTCTGCGCGGCCCTTGCTTCTCCTGCCTGCCTGCTGCCTGCAGGTCGCTGGAAGGGCACCATGGTGGCGGTGAAGGTGGTGGAGACGCACGTGGGGCCGGAGCAGCAGTACGATTTGAGAAACGAGCCGCTGCTGAGGTGGGGTGCACCCACAGTTGCCAACCAGCAGCGCATTCGCCTCCACAGCTTCATGCTTGCTGCTGCTCTGCCTTGGCTTGTGCGCTCAACAGCTGCTTTCCCAACTCTGCCAATCCCTGCACCATGCCCCATTGCCGTTCCCACCAACCCCCACATGGTCGCCATGCCGTGCGTGCGCCTACCTGCAGCCTGAGCCTGTCGCACCCGAACGTGCTCCAAGGCTACAAGATGTGCGCAGTGAAGGTTCTCACCGAAGCTGAGGCGGGCTTAACTCTTGAGAGGAGCCTCTCAATCGGTGGCAGCGGTGACCTTAGCAACAGCAATGGGGCCCGCAGCTACGTGGGCAGCGGCAGCGGTGGCAGGGTGGTGCCACACCTGACCAACCCAAATTGCATGGTCCAAGTCATGCCGGCAGATGCGGTGCTGGAGCCAGGGTGAGGCATTGGCTGGTGATGCGCTGAGTTGCTCCGTGCATCCCGATCAGCCTGCTCATCCCTCTGGTCCATTCATTTGCTCTCTTGTTTCTGTCTCTCGCTACGCGCAGGATGTACGAGATGTGGCTGGTCAGCGAGCTGGCGGACAAGGGGACCCTGGCAGATGCCATGAAGGCTGGCTTGTTCAAGCAGGCTGAGCCGCCAGGGCGCAACCTGGTGAGCGCCTGGGAACTGCTGAGAGCATTGGGCTGAGGAAGCAGCCCAAATTGCCTGCTGGAGGTCTGGCCGTCTCTTACATTTGCCTGTCTGCCTGCCTGCGTACAGCCTGCTATCCTGCTGTGCTTGCTGGATGTGGCGCGCGGCCTGGAGTACCTGCACAGCTGCAACATCATGCACGGCGACCTCAAGCCGCAGAATGTGCTGCTGAAGACGGCCGCTTCTGATAGCCGCAGCTTTGAGTGCAAGCTTGGCGACTTTGGGCTCAGCCGCATACTTCGGGAGACGGAGACACATGTGGACACGGGCTCCTATGGCACCGTGACGCACGCCTCGCCTGAGCTGCTGACAGAGGGGCGGCTGACGAAGGCCAGCGATGTGTTTGCCTTTGGCATTGTTCTGTGGGAGCTGGTCAGCGGCCAGCGGCTATTCCCAGACATGCACCAGATGCAGGTGGGGCGCTGGCGCCGCTGGGCTAAGCGAATCTGACTGACTGCTTCAGAGCATGGTTGTGCTGCTGTGTGTTTGCACTTTCCCACTTATCCGTGCCGGTCTGCCGGTGTCCACTTTCGCACATCCTGGCTGCACTCGTGCTGCAGATCATCGTTCATGTGACACAGAGAGGCTACCGTCCGCCCATCCCCTCCGACTTTCCGCCAGCACTAGCAGATCTGGCGCAGCGATGCTGGGACGCTGATCCGCATGCAAGGTCAGGCACCGCTGCAATGCCAGCCTCCCTTTGTCTGCCTGCCCAGCTCCCCTTGACCCCTCGTATGCATGCTCTGTGCCTTCCTGCAGGCCGGACACAGAGGCTATTGTGCGGGAGCTCATTGAGTTCAGCGCCAGTAGCGGTCCTGCTGTCCCGGCGCAGCGTGATCTTGTCGCCCCTGTGCCTTCTGCGGCTGGCGGTGTTGCTGCCCCTGCCGCAAGGGGTCCATCCACCTCTCCATTTGCCCAATGATGGGCTTGTGTCTGTCCAAACCTCGTTTCCTATTACCTTGTAATCCCACCACCCACTGTGCATCTGCCTGTTGCCCAAGTGCCATAAAACCCCGTCTCGCACCGTCGCATTAGGTGGCCTCCCTGCCCGTTAGTGAGAAACTCAATTTATTCAACCCGTATGTATTCTTGTGCGCCCCTCATTAAGCTTGAGACCATCCAGCATGATTTTGCCTCGCTTCTTCTGTTTTCCCTCGACGCTAACTTACTGCTGCTGTTACTGCTCTTTTTTGCGAGACCTTCTATTTGAGAGCCTAGTAGTAGCACAACATGCATGCCATGTCACTCCACGATACCAATTTGGCAGTGCAAGAGCCTCCTGCGACTGCTGTAACAGCATTTCTTCCGTCATTGTCACGTCACCGCAGGCTGCCTACCACCGAGCGCCAGGAAGCCGGCTCGCAGGCTGTGGGCGGCCATTCAGTGGCATCTGTTTAGCGAGGAGAGGCGCGGTTCTGAGGGCTCCAGCACGCAGATTTGGTCGTCCCATGATCTGTTTATTTACCAGGCCTTTGGACCAGCGCCGCCGCCCCCGCCCCATAGTACAGCGCAGCAGTACTAGTTCGCGTGCTTACTGCTGTGGGAACGTGGCGGCTTTACCAAACCCTGGCGATGGCGCAAGTGCGGCCCGGCCCTGGGGCCCTACTTCTGGTCTCCCTGCTGCTTTTGGGCAGCGGCCACGCGGTGCTAGTGGTGCCCGTCAGCACCCCAGAGCAGCTGTTGGATGCCCTCGCCGTGGCCACCGCCCCCGGAGCACCCAGCGACACGGTGGTGGAGCTGCAGCAGGACATGGCCCTCACTCGGGCAGCCGCGGCCAACTTCACCCTGCCCTTTGTCATCGCGGGCAACCGCACGCTGACGCTGCGAGGGGGTGAGGGCTTGGGGCCGAGGCCTGTGCTGCCCTGGGCGTGCCCCCCCCCCCCCCCCCCCCCGCCGCCTCCCCGCATGTTGCTGTGTGGTTGGGCAGCAGCACTGATCGCCCGGCCCCTCTCTGTCTCCAGCGGATGGCCAAATCAAGCACCTCGACTTTGGGGAGATAGACGGGCTTTTATACGGCAAAACTAATGCCAGTCTTCGAATAGACAAACTGAACGTCACTGGTGTGTTGCCCCACCACCGCGCAGGCTGCTGTAGCCTGCTGTTCTGGCTCGTTGTCAGAGGCTCTGTCATGCCGGCGCTGTGCTGCTGCTGCGCGCAGTGACCCATGCACGTCGTGCTTGTTCCCGCTCTCATACTTGCTGTGGGCTTGGTGGCGCGGCGGCGTGCCACGTGCTGTGATCTTGCGCTACGTGATCTTTGATGTGCAGGCGCTGCTGACCCGCAGTTTGGTACTTGGCCAGAGGGGGTCACCAGCCCAACCGTGGTGCAGTCCATGCCACTGTGGCCGACCTTGTGGGCTGATCCAGGATTCAGGGTAGGATGGCAAAACGCATGTTGGCAGCGTTCGTGTCCCAGCCTGTTTGTCAGATGTTGTACTTGCGGCGGCAGATTGGGTCATGTCTGCCAGCTGGCCTGGTCGCATGTCCAAGCACCATCACCCATTTCTGACGGGGGGGCAAAATATTTTCTATTTTCGGCGCCCTTTTCTGCAGTTGGCCGCAGACAACTCCAAATATACCCTTCATCCAACCACGTTGTGCACCCCGGAAGTCGTCGCCGCCCAACTTCAGGCTTTCGCGGACCTTGCCAAAAGTTCTGGCAGCAACGCCACAGAACTGTACACAAACGGCACCTTTGGCTTCTTTGTCGATTGGGCCGCACCGGTGCCTGTGCTGAGCCCGGACACCAAGGTCGCAAGTGAGTCAGTGCAGCAGCAGCAGGGGACCGCTGTGCGCTTCATGTGCTACACCTCCCTGTACGCGCATCCTGCTCACCTCGCACCCGCACTGCGGCTCTCTCTGCCTGCTGCGCCGTTCCAGTCTGTGTGCCCACGATGATCCATGTGCCTCGGCAACTGATCCACAAGCTCATCTTGCGTGCTCGTGTGCCCTGGTGCCCCTGTTTGTGATGCAGTTGGGACAATCTTTCAATCTGCGAAGAACACTTCAATACAATGCATGCTGCCTAGTGCCACAGAACCAGATGTGGTGCCTGTCAGCACGCCGGAGCAGCTGCTGGCAGCCCTGGCTGCTGCTACCGGGCCTGGAGCGGCAAGGAACACTGTACTGGAGTTGCAGCAGGATGTGGCCCTCACCCAAGCAGCCGGAGCCAAGTACACCTTGCCCTTTGTCATAGCAAGCAACCGCACACTGACGCTTCGAGGGGGTGAGCTGGGGCTGGAGGCAGGAAGCCCCCTTGCGCCTGCCCAGCTGCATCCCTGTGTGCATGCACCAGCCCGCCTGGCGCCGCGCCGGCGCCATTGCTTGCATCGAGTGTGCCAGCTGTCTGCAATGCTGACGTCTCGCATGCACATTTCAACACTTTCTCGCTGCTCATCTGCCCGCAGGCGATGGGCAAATGAAGGGCCTGGACTTGGGCGAGCTGCCGCAGCTTCTCTTCATGAAGCCCAACAGCACGCTGTCTCTCGAGTATCTGAATGCCACCGGTGCGTGGCTGCGCCTGCTGCTTTGTGGCCCTTTCCGGTTGCAACCGTGCTTCACCTGCTTCCGTTCTGCCCGTTGCCACAAACTGTGATGGTCAGAGGCATTGCCAGGCTCCCATAAGCCGCATTCGCCTCCCAGGCCATGCATGGGTTCACAGAAGCTGGCTCGTTTTGCTGGCTTCCTGCAGGCCCAGCCGATGCGCAGTTGGGGTCATGGCCAGAAGAGGTTGACAGCCCGACAGTCATACAGCTGATGCCCTTGTGGCCAACCCTCGGCGGCGATGCCGGGTTCACTGTGAGCATGCCGGGGAAGCGATAATGCATTGCCAGTGGGCATGCCCAGTTTTGGCTCCTTAAGCACAGCAACCAGCCACTCACGGCAATTGCCTGCGTTCCACACTTTCTTGTGATACTGTGATGGTGGCTTGCTGGTCACCGAGCTGGTGCCTTGCTGCCTCCTTGCGCTGCCTGCAGTTCGTGCTCCACAATTCCAGCACCACCCTGTTCCCAACCGATTTATGCACAGAAGAAAATCTGGCGGCCCAGGCTGATGGCTTGGAGGCTCTCGCTCAGAGTGCGGGCAGCAACGCCACGCAAATTGCGCTAAACGGCACGACGGGCACTTTTGTGGATTGGGCTGGCCCCATCCCGGTGCTGAGCCCTGTCACCAAGGTGTCAAGTGAGTGCGGCCGCATGGCTACATGCCATGCGCTGGCCACAATGATGGCCTCCCCAGCCATGGTTTTGCACTCTCATCTTGCGCTTCGCATCCTGCCGGCAGCTGCCTTCTGACAGTGCTGCGCATTACCCTCG